TCCATGGTATATCAGAAATAAAAAAATACAGAAACACTTTAGAGTCCAGAGTGTGCAAAAGTATATGAAAGACAGAGCGCTGAAATTGTTCGATTCTGTGAAAGCGCACACTAATTTAGAATTGCACTCTCTCAAATCAAATGTAATATTCTAACGGAATAGAAAGATATGGTCGTCTTCAGAGTATGCTTTTATTAAATCATCTGACTAATTTATTATCAGAATTCAACGGGACTTTTTTTACAGTAGATCAACTAAATGGTCACAGACATTATTGAGTACAAGTGCTTTAGACATAAACTTACATTTGATTAAGCAAAGAAGAAGAAGAATAATAGATGATATACCAACATCAAAAGAAATAATACCTTAAGATCTATATATTTCAAGTGACAACTATCCAGAACTTTAAGCAATCCTTCATAGATACAAGTATATAAGTGCAAATATAAGTGACAATATGAGTGATATAATTATAAAAATATAAAAATAATATATTAAAATGATAATGCAACTCTTTACTTTTAGGATAGAGTGGTGATTCTTAGCGATAAATACTTTAGGCAACTCTCAAAAATATAGGCACATAGGAGAAAATATGAGCGATTATATGAGTGATAATACGAGTGAAAATATAAGTGACAATATGAGTGATAATGTGAGTGACAATATGAGTGATTCTTAATATTCTAACAAGCAACATTTTTTCAATTTAATTCAATATTATATTCAATACATAAAGTCAATCTGTCATAACTCGAATTTCTATAACACGAATTTTCTATAACTCAAACTGAAAAGAGTGCAATAGAGTTTTAGAGCGCAAATTTCATACCATTCTGCTTCCTTAAATTAAACTTCTATAACTCAATTTTCTCTATAATTCGAATAAAAATATTGTCACGTGCCAATAGAAATATGGGAAAGTGCATTCTATAAGTTGAATTTTTGTTTTAAGTATGAATCCATTTTGGTGTTAGGGGAAGTTCCTTTCCCCAGATCAGAGAATTAGAGAATTTAAAAAATCTGTCTCCATAAGTCGTCGAACCTCCTTTTCTTTGCAAAATAGTACTTCGAGTTATGGAAGTATATATAGAAGTATTATATAGAAGTATTATATAGAAGTATTATGTAGAAGTATTATATAGAAGTATTATATAGAAGTATTATATAGAAGTATTATATAGAAGTATTATATAGTATATTAATAGTATATCCGCAAGAGTAAAAAATTAGATAAATCACTAAATTTTATATTATTCATAAATCAAAATTATTAATTATTATTATTATTTATTTTAACTAGAATAATTTTTGAAAAAAAAGTCATTTGTGATATTATTTCTAACTACGAAAATATCTAAAATTTAAATGAATCTTGTGACTAATTAACAGCTTTTTTAATTAAGAACAGTTAAATAAGCAATTAAGCACTTTTTTATACGTTCATTAAGTTTCTAAATTAAGGACAAGGTCATTGATTCACTATTCCAAAATAAGATTTTAATATCTTAACTAAATAAATATACAAAATTTTCTGCATGCAATCCAAAATTTTATTAACCAACCATAAAAATATTAATGATTTAATAGATTTTGTGCTTTTAGCAATTTGTTTATAATAATTTAATGAATTCAAAATTTTACTCTTTTTCCTGTTCTGTAAATATTTTTCTTTCATTTTCCAGATTTTGTACTTTTAATCTTTTTATTTAAAAGTAATTTTTGTTTCTCTTATTTATTTGGCATTGTTTTGGTTTAAATTTTGTGTTTACTTAAATTTGAAAATGATTTGTTATGGAAATATTTATTTAACAAAAACAAAATGTAACAAAGGAAATCATTAAGTGCAAATTTATGCACTTTTGTAAAATAATAATTTACGTTAATTCTCAAAAAACAAAAATAAATTAAACCAAAAAATAATCAAAATTCGTATGATCGTATTGCAGATTTTTGGTTATAAGATGCATGTGAGCTGTTTGATTTTCAATCGGATTAAAGCTAGCTATTAGACATAAATAAAAATTTTAAAAAATGTTCACTTCCACTTGGGAGTGTACCGATTTATGGTTCTGTTATGAATTCTGTTTAGTCTTGTCAGATTATGACAGGATATTTAAAAATTTATAACAGAATATTTTCTCTCTGATCTATTCCTATGATAAGTACATTAACGGACCTATTCTGTACACTTTATAAACTTGTCAACCATTGACACTTGTCAAAATTGACTGCTGTAAAGGTTTTGGTATTCTGTGACATAAATAAAAAGCTCTTTTCCTTGTTATTTGTCATTACTACAAATGCTGTTGACAACTATAAAAATATGCTCTTTTTAAGCATTATTTACTTTTTGCATGCATGACAAATATTCTTAACTAAAATAGACGCTCTTTACAAGCATATTTTTTATTGTTATTTGAATGCATGAAAAATGCAACTGAAAATATGTGCTCTTTACAAGCATTTTTTACGAACAGTTACGAACAATTACGAACAGTTTTCTATACAAAACACATTACACCATAGTGTGGTGAGAAGCACTAGGTACTTAAGCTTTGAAATTTGTCAAGATGTGTCCAGAATACCAAAAAGCTTTCTGCTTTTTTTCTTGTGTCCGTAGGTCCGTAAGAATATCGGATAGATTTATACTTTAGGAAGAGAAAACTTGTAATGAATACAATCTTTCTGGCGAGTGCAGAATTCTGAATAAATTAAAAAATAATGAGTTCCTCTTTGTGCACTGATCTGCAACTATAACTTCTCTTGTACTTGTTTTGATCCAAAACTAAGACAGCTGCATTAAGAATATCGGACAGACGAATACTGTAAGATCATTAAATAGTATTTGAAGCTCTGTCGAAGATTTAAGGTGGTTTCAAAACTTTGAGTTTGTCCTTTATACAAACTAATACCTTGTAAAACTTAAATTTTATACCCATTACACAATCGGCCAATAGACCTATCTAAGTGAACCTTTTGGATCGCCGGCATAATCTAACCTAGGCTACAGCTACTGCAACAAAAAAGTACATTATTGACAACATCTCATTAGACAGCAAATTGATAAACTAATTTATGTATATTTTATTCTTATAATATATTAATATAAACTATATATTTAAAATTGACCAGTAATAATTATTAATTTTTTTTGCTTATTTCCAGACACTCTAATGTAATGTAAATACAACCTGAAAACTCGAATATTTCAAAACAAAATTTAACAAAATATGTTTCTAACATATCATTTAACATTGAAATTCATATAGTATTCTTATAACAATATAAAATAGTAATTTCCTCAAAAATGGCACTAAGTCAGGGTAAGTATAGACCCACTATATCTGCCATTGATGAGGTGGATGACCGAAATCTGAAAAGTGACGAGTTGCAAAAACAACAAATCGAAGGGAGCGAAACTGCTCCATTGACAATAAATCAACAAAAATTTAATATTGACAATAATTTATCGCGAAAAGATCTAGAAGCACAAAATGATGGCGTCGGTGGGGGTAGTGATAGTAGCACTCAAGCTGAAACCGCGAACCTAAGTGGTAATGCCAGCACAAACAGACTGAGAGGTAAGTATATAATCTGTAAGAGCTTCATTTGCTTACAAATGCACTATATCACATTATAAAATTGTGTTTATCTTTAAATAAATGTCTTCCATCAGCACTCCATTGCACTAATAAATGTACAACGAATTTTTCGTTAAAGACTTTTTGCTTTCAGGACGTTTATCAGTTGATGCGTTAATGAGATTATCGCGTAAACGTCGTATTTTATATATAACGACTGCCTGCTTTTGTGCCTTACTTATAGTGATTATAATCGTATTGATAGCTTCCTGGCCAGAAGTGCCGTTCTATTTCAAAGCGAAAGTCTGTTTGGAAAAAGAGTGTGTAGAAGCCAGTCAACAAATTTTGCTTTGGGCTAACACCAGTAAGAGTTCCTGTCGAGATACATATGAGTGGGCGTGTGGTAATTTTGCGCATGAGTACGCGGCTAACGATTATTTTGTTATTAAGCGCGGTGAATGGAATTATAAAACTTATAATGAGTATGAAGGTGGGTGCACTAATTCTTAAAACTGCTTTTGCTTTTATTTATTACATTATTGTTGTTTGCAGAATTGAATGAATTAAACCGTTTCATATCAATGTTGCCATCATTTGACGGTTCATCTACTGTGGAGTCTATGATTTCAAGTTTGTATCGAACGTGCCGTGAAATAGATACATTAGATAAGAGCCAGTCGAGTTTGTTATTAAAACAAGCCATTAAGTCAGTTGGTGAGTGATCAAAATAAGATTATGTAAATATTTTTACTTTTTTTTATTATAAAGGGAAGAAAAACTATTACATTAAATGAAAGAGTAAAGAATAATTTTCTTAGAATGACTATTTTGTGTATTTTATATGCAGCTGCACTAAATGGGTTTATTATTTTGTTTAAAAAATTATAGTTGTTAGTGATTATTGATCACTAACCCAATAGCTCAATTAGGAGTGGTGAGAGGCAGTTGGTTGTTAGGACAGATGGCAGTTACAGTATAAACAAGTTTGGTTCATGGAACCATTAGTTGGTGTTGAATAAAGCTCGTTGCCTTCTTAATAATACGAAAGTATTTTTACGATTATTAAATATTATTGACGATGATATATTATTGATGGTACGTTGAGATATCGGCTACAAAGTTAAAATAGTACTTGGTGATGAATAATGATTGTAGTCTTGTTAATAATACAAAAGTATTTTTACGATTATTAAATATTATTTAATATAAATATTATTACGATTATATTATATTATGATTATTAAACAATATATTATTGATGGTACGTTGAGATATTGGCTACAAAGTTAAAGTCAAAAACTCCTGAAAGTTAATCTATGTTTATAAAAATTTTTACACTAGAATTTTATTTCGTTTATAGTATAAATTTTATTATATATTCGTTCAATAAACAAAAAAACAAAAATTGTGTGGTTATAATAATACTTTTGTGCCTTGCTTAAAAAGTGTTAGGTTCATTAAATTCCTAATTGGATGGTGGCAAGTATGTATTGCCTTGTGTGCTTCCAGATCCACCACTAATACTGCTACCAATTCCAGAAAAGCCACCAGTGCCAATACTACTGGTACTAATACCAGAAAAGCCACCAGTACCAACACCACTGCTACCAATTCCAGAGAAACCACCAGTACCCACACCACTGCTTCCAATTCCAGAGAAACCACCAGTACCAACACCGCTGCTACCAACACCTGAAAAACCACCAATACTACCACTGGTTTGGTGTACATTGGTAGAACTAGCACCAAAATCACTGCCACCGCCCAAGGATCCAATAACTGATTGTACTTGTCCCACACCACCGTCGGCATGTTCAGAGGTACCCTCAATTTTGTCATATTCAGCTAATTTATACAGAGAAGAAAAAATTTAGTAATGTATTTTCAGTAATAATGTCCATAAAAATATTTATAATACCTTGAATTTGTTTTTGAGCATGTGTAGCTTCATCTTCAGTTTTGTATTTAATGAAGAATACTTCTGGCTTACTGGGAACAGTTGGTGCTGGTGTGGCAATGTCGTTAACCTCCAAAGCTGAA